CATGTGTTAGGAAAATCTCTTGTACCATATTTAATTTGCAAGCTGGGGGCATGCTTGCTTCTCTGAGCTCTCAGAAGGTACTTGGGGGATATTATTCTGCCATAATCTTTTGTACTTGAAGTTGATGGAATCTATTTTTTAAGTATTTATTTATTTGAAAGGCAGAGTTTCAGGGACAGAGACAGAGACAGACAGATCTTTCATCTGCTGATTCCTTTCCCAACGTGGCTGCAGTGACCAGGGCTGGGCCAGGCTGAAGCCAGGAGCCAGGAGCTTCATCTTGGTCTCCATGTGAGTACAGGGGCCCAAGCACTTGGGCCATCCTCCACTGCTTTTCCTAGGCCATTAGCAGGGAGCTGGATTGGAAGTGGAGCAGCCAGGACTCAAACTGGTCCCCCTCTGGGAAGCCAGCGTCACAGATGGTGGTTTTACACCCTATGCCACAACGTCGGCCCCGAAGTTGATGGAATTTGTTAAGTAAGTATACATGGAACAGCAGGAACACTGTCACAAGAAAGTAAATGCGGAGAGAGAGAGAGAGAGAGAGAGAGAGAGAGAACAGGCTTGATGGCCTTCAGGTTTGAGAGAGAGAGAGAACAGGCTTGATGGCCTTCGGGAGAGAGAGAGAGAGAGAGAGAGAGAACAGGCTTGATGGCCCTTTGGGTTCGAGAGAGAGACAGAGAGAGAGAGAGAGAGAGAGCAGGCTTGATGGCCTTCGGGTTCCAGTCCAGTCTTACCCAGAGGCATCACTCACCTGAACACCTGTGTGCTCACCACGTTTGTGACCGGGAGGTTCTCCTGGTTGCAGTACCCATCTCCCATTCTACAACCACAAGCCACGGGGCCCACATACGGTCACCATTTTCCCCACCCTAGACACTGTCCGTACCAATGAAGAAAACAGTATTTAGAAATACACACTGACCACGCTAGGCAGCTTAACCTTATCTCTCAAGAAAGATTTGCTGAGCAACGGCACAGGATAAATGAGAGCAGTGCTTAACTACCTTGTTACACCGCCAGTCCTTGTTTTCTTCCAATGCTGCAAAGAAATAAACTCGATTTCTCCCCAAGCCCCAGTTTGGACTTACTCTCACCACAGAGAACATGCAAGCTCCTGGGAAATCTATACTCTGGGAGGCAAACTGACCAACGTAGGTACGCCTTTCAGTACAGCAAGGAACGAGTGTCCTCCAAGCAAAGTCCTCTTTCTGGGTTGAGCAGGGACCCAGAGGACAACTCCCAGGCCACATGGCTGACCACAAGGAACATTCAGGGGCCGCTGCTTCGGCGCCCCAGGGACGCGATAACTCCCAAACCAAATGTGCACGCCACTGGCAGGATCACTCCACATTCCTACATCAGAAACTCGCCTGTCATTTTTCATGCAATATGAAAGTACAAGATTCATTCAATTAAGTGAGAGACTGACCCACATGGAAATTTGGGGTTAGGTGAGTTAGTTTAATTTTGCCAATAGAATACACACATGCTACACTTGATTATATTCCTGGTGTTCTGCATTGTAATTATAGTATATAATTATATATTTCTATACAATTATAATTGGGTTATATATTCCAAGGTCCTGTGGCTCAGGATTCTTTTAACTACGCCTTCAGGGGCATATTACGCAATATAGTCTGAAGCTTTTCTTCTACCACTTCTGGTTTTACACCTAATGCTGTACTTAAAAGTCATGTGACAGAATTGGAAAAACTCCAAACCAAAAATATGAACTTTGCTTTCTCGGTGGGAATATGAGACAGTGACACGTAGGTTGTTCCTATGGTATGACCACGGTATGTTTCAACTCTGTGGTGCAAAGTGTAGAATGAGAATAAGAGTATTTAGCTTTTTATTTTCTTTATTTAAGAAGCAATCACAGGGGCCGACGCTGTGGCGTAGTGGGTAAAGCCACCGCCTGCAGTGCTGGCATCCCATATGGGCGCTAGCTCAAGTCCTGGCTGCTCCTCCTCCCACCCAGCTCTCTGCTAGGGCCTGGGAAAGCAGTAGAGGATGGCCCAACTCCTTGGGCCCCTGCACTTGCATGGGAGATCTGGAAGAAGCTCCTGGCTCCTGGCTTGGGATCTGTGCAGCTCCAGCCATTGTTGGCTTTTGGGGAGTGAACCAGCAGATAGAAGACCTCTCTCTCTCTCTCTGCTTCTGCTTCTCTCTGTAACTCTTTCAAATAAATAGCTAAATCTTTAAAAAAAGAAGAAGAAGAAGCAATCACATTGCTTTAAAGCACACATCCTGGACATTTTCCTGTACTATCAAGTCATTTTTTTAAACTCTTTCACCTTAAGTGGTTAATGCAGTAATTAATTAATGGAACGTGGCTGGCGCCGTGGCTCAATAGGCTAATCCTTCGCCTTGAGGCTCTGGCACACCAGGTTCTGTCGCGGTCGGGGCGCCGGATTCTGTCCCAGTTGCCCCTCTTCCAGGCCAGCTCTCTGCCATGGCCCGGGAGTGCAGTGGAGGATGGCCCAAGTGCTTGGGCCCTGCACCCCATGGGAGACCAGGAGAAGCACCTGGCTCCTGCCTTCGGATCAGCGCGATGCACCGGCCATTGGAGGGTGAACCAACGGCAAAGGAAGACCTTTCTCTCTGTCTCTCTCTCTCCCTGTCCACTCTGCCTGTCAAAAAAAAAAAAAAAAAAAAAAAAGAAAGAAAAAATTAATGGAACCCTCTGAATATTATTATAATGCACCAAGGACGGTCAGACCTCGGTATTGACAGAGGAATTCTTCCAGGACCCCAACGGATACCAACAGCACAGGTGCACAGGTCATTTATTTGCATAGAATTTGCATAGAACCTACGCACACCATGCCTGTGAAATCACCTCTACACTACTTACAGTACCTCATACAAGGAAAACACTATGTAAATAGTTGTTACAGTGTATTGTACAAATGCAAAATCTATTCAATATAGATAATAATATTTTTTCCAAATATTTCCCATCTGCAGTTGGTTGGATCCATGGATGTGAAAACCATGGATACAGAGTCAATGGTACTCACTCAGGCTGAGAACTTCATTAACTCAACCCTCCCAGGTACTAATTTTTAACATAAGGCAGAAGAGGATGCTTTTTTTTTTTTAACTACACAGTGACCCAAAAGGGAGAAAGTGTCCTTTGACAAATGAAAATTATAACCTACCTACACATGGTGCACATATATTAATCTATTTTTAAAAGGAAACCAGGTTGCACTTGTCCAGCACCCACTTACTCATCAATTATTCAAAAACTTACCTAAGGATCTAGAGGATAGAACAGTTTAGAAAATGAAAATTTCACCTTCTCTCTATAGAGATGAGAGGGCGCCGTGTCCCAGGGAAACCGTGACCTGTTCTCCAGGAAGGCCCGAGTCACCTATGCGTCGGAGTGGCCTGAGACATGGCAGGCAGCTCAGTCTCAGGAGTCCAGTGGGCAGCCCTGGGCCAGTCCCCCTGGACGCTCAGCTGGAGGTCGCTCTGCTCTCGGGAGTTAATCTCCACAGTTAAAGTCACCTCTCCAGCCAGCGGCTGCCATCACATTTTCAAATACGCACACTACACACTCAACCACAGAAACACACATACATAAAAGCAAACTTTCCATATATGTGCCCTGCAGAATACCTTCAGAGCAAAATTTAAACTCTGAACAATTTTTACTTGCACCCCATAACCCACATGGAATATGGAACATGCAACTCTCTCGGAGATAAGCAATGCTGGAGGAAGGATGTTCTTCTCCCAGTCTGATCTTGTTCAACCACTGTGAATCCCAACAACTAATGTTCAGGTTTCCTAACTCAAGGTCCCACGCTTTTAAAAGTCAGTCCTGTGGCTGCTGCTGTGGTGTAGCGGGTAAAGCCACCGCCTGCAGTGCCGGCATCCCATATGGGCGCCGGGTCGGGTCCTGGCTGTTCCACTTCTGAATCAGCTTTCTATGGCCTGGGAAACAGTGGAAGATGGCACTGGCCCTTGGGCCCCTGCACCCGCATGGGAGACCTGGAAGAAGCTCCTGGTACCTGGCTTCAGATTGGCGAAGCTCCAGCTGTTGTGGCCATCTGGGGAGCGAACCAGTGGATGGAAGACCTTTCTCTCTGTCATCTGCCTCTGCCTCTCTATAACTCTGCTTTTCAAATAAATAAATAAATCTTTAAAAAAGAGACAATCCTCTTTTTCATATGGAGATTTCTAATGGAATAGATTTTTCCCAGATTTAAAATAGAACTTACATAGCAAGATTCCTCTTCATTTGATCATACACTTATTTTGTAATTGGGTTAACTCTAGCACTTAGAAAACAAGTGCAACTGTACGTTTTTCCTACCCATTTGTGGCCAGTAGTATAAATATAGTTTGTTAGCACATAGCAGTGTTCTTACATTTCAGAAAAGTCCCCCTTACATTTTCAAGAAGTTACTTTTCACATTTATTTCTGAATAGTGAAAGCCATTAGATTATCTAAGAGATTCACTCTTCCCCAAATTTAATTTACAGCTAAGTCATTTTAGGAATTGCAACAATTACCAAAATGCAAAAACCTCTACTTGAAAAATCTGTATAATCTGAAAACGGAAAACCAATTGTTTTAAATTGAATCAGGCATTTTCCCTCTCAGGGTCAAAGCGTGGAAGCAGCTTGGAGTAGAACTTAATGTGTGAATTATAAACTCCCGAAAATAGAGGCTGCTCATCAAGATCCGGCAGGGTTTTTCTTGATGGCATATTCTCTGATGCTTTAGCCAGTATATTTCTAAATGTCCCAGGAGACTGCTTTCTGAGCCCGCTCACTTCACCAACCCAATAACTCAAAGCAGGCGGATAATTCCCTTGAATCTTAGCCTACATTTTCCCTTGGAAATTTCATGTGATATGACACCCTCCATTCCAGCCAGAATTTCATTCTAATACTGACTGCCTGGATTTCCAAATGCCGTGGCCCACTTTTAAGTGGTGGGGTAAGCCTTTCTTCTGCTCCCAGGTTCTGATACATACACGCTTTCTGTCCACAGGGCTCCCTTCCGTCATTCACGTCCTCGGCCGAGGAGTTGGTCTCTGTCCACATCTGGCGAGACACAACAATGGAGTAACCCCCACTGCTCTGTTGAGTGCGCTGTAGTCTAACAACTCAGACTCCAGACACCGAAATCCAGACTCAATCCCAGGTCTGCCAAGGCACTTCACCTTTCTGAGGCTTCCTCTTCTCATTTGTGAAATGGGGATGATACTAACACCTGCCAGGGTTGTGGTTAAAGTGCACTTTGACCATCCATGTAAAGTAAATGGCAGGGTGTGGTGCACAGTACTTGCCCATCAGTTGCTATCATTCTTCTTTGAATTACTTAACTCTTTCCTGGGGCTGCCTAGGAATAAGCTTGTAAGTATGTCAGGATATATTATTACCAATTTTAAGGAACCCCAGCACCAGAAAACATCTTGGAGAGGACTTGATCTAAGTTTCCTTTCATCGCCCTGAAAACAGAGCTCTGGCGCAGGCCAAGATTCCTTGGTCATTGCAGGGGCACTGGCCAGCAGCTCTCCTTGCTGCTTTGCTCTCTAAGAAGGTCCATGCAAAGCAATAAATCCAGCCATCACACTGTTAGTGATTTCAAGTCCATGCACGGCTTGAATTCAGAATTCTTTCCTACTGAAGACCCCAGGGCTGGCAGAAGCAGGAAGGGCACAGAACAGCTCTTAGAGGGTGTTACCCCAGACAGGGCAGCATGCATCCAAGTCACTGCCATCAGCAGCAGAATTCCTCCCCCAAACCAGACCAGCCAGGAACCGGAAGATGACCGAGAGATGACAGCAACATGACAACAGCGAGGACTTGGCTTCTACCAAGTGGCAGGGCTAGGACTGATGTTGGTGCTGAACCAGACCATCATCTCCTGTGCAAACTTAGGACTACCAGGCTCACCTCTCTCGCCCTTTAAAACTATTTCACCCATAGGGTAGGTTCCAAGTACATTGTTTGAATTGTAAGCATGCTCCATCAATATGGAAACCAAGATGGGGCGGGGTGGGGTGGAGAGTTTCAGATCAGTGTAGATACCAGGTTTGTTCAGAGGTGGAATACATCTCTAACTCTCCAGCACTTCTGCCTCTGCGCGGTGCAGGTACCAGCGGTTCACACACAAACCTCTCCAAGTAGCAAGGAAGACTTCCAGAAAAACCGCAGCCTCTGTGAAACTGAAAGTGTGAAAATCCATTCCTGGGAGCTCATCTTCCATGGCCCATCCAGTCCTGGCCCCGATGTCAGCAGCTGGGGTTTACCACTGAAAACGTCTCTGTAAATATGCACCTGCCCTTCGCTGATTCCAAAACCAGGACCCCAGTCCCTGTAATCACCTCTTTTACAGTCATTTGTGAATTTCATCCCAGAGTTCTCTTTAAAAGGATGAGCTTTCAACTTTCAATGATGAAAAACATCAAAATTTAACATACACCTTACCAGGAGGACACCATCTGTTGAATAAAGTACTTAATTCTGTTTAAGCAACTACATTTTAAGCTCATATGAAAGCAGATCCAGAAAGGGTAAAAACATCATTGACAGAGAATAACACAATATACTTAAAGAAAAAAAAAACTACATCTAAAAGACTATCTTTATTATCACACATAAGACGTTTTTATTCAAAATATCAGGAAAGATGCAGCAAACCCACAAATTAATTAAGCTTCCCAGAGGACAAGTATCTCCAAGTACTTATAAAGCAATTCATCATTTATTTACCCAAGCAGGAGGTGCAGAAGCGTAAGAATGAGAAGGCAAGCACTTGAGAAATGCTTGGACAAATTCTAGACCTAGAAGATAAAATTTCAGTTGGCATATCACACGTTGAAGTCAGCTCAGAAAGAAAAGAGCCCACAAACCAGCATGTGCATGAATTTCTCAGCAGTCCTTCAACTGCTTAATTAATCTCGCTGGCCAGCTTGGCCCCAACCTCCTAGATTCAACATGGGTTCCCGCCTCAGAATATTATCCTCATCAGAAACGGAACATAGATGATCGATTTCCTTCCCCCGCCTAGTGTCATTCACATATTTTCAATTGTTACATTATTTCACCTTGCAATTATCCGGTCTATATATCCTCAATTCTTTACTTCATAGCTACATGCACCACATAATAAACTCACCAAACACTGGTTTCTGATCTCCACGAACAGTCTCCACCTTCCTTCTAAACTCCGAAAGCTCGGAAGCCTACTATGAGCAAATGTTCCAATCACAATTTCTACAAGAGACTGAGCTGCAAACTCCAGATGCGTCAACCACACCCAACCAAAAACGCAAGACACTACTATGCACACCTATTGCAAAAAGGAGTGGACCAAGAACCCGGTCTTTTATAATCTCACTGTGAAACTCAAGGCAACCCACCTATTTATTTTAGGCTTTTCTCCATGTTGACCACAATATCCAGTCACCACTACAGCATTAGTACAACTAGCAAGGCGTCTAGGGCTGTAAAAAATTCTATTTGTCAGTTCCAGAAAAATAATGGGGTGGGGGGAAGAGGAATGGATGGAGATTGGTTCAAGGCCACACATCGTGTTTCCCTTTCAAAGTAGTGCTAACCCTGAACCTGCGGCAGCAGGAAGACATATAGCACAGCACTTTATTGGAATTCTTTCTCAGTCATAAATTATATTTCAAAATGGCCCAAAAAATGTCTATCAGAATTTTAAAAAAAAAAAAACTGAAGGTATCAAGTAACCCACAAGGGGCTTATTTTTTTTTTTAAAGTGCAGAAAGTACTTTCAACCCAAAATGTGTGGCAAGCCCGCCAAGGACTCCCGCGCGCAAACAGATGGTCTCCGGCGTGGAAGGCCAGCCAGCCCCCTTCGCGGTCGGAACGCACAAGTCCAGGAGACCTCGGCTGCCTGCGCCTAATAAGGTTTGCCTCTCACCAAGTTGTCAGCAGGTCACCTCTCATCCCCAAAACAAAACAAAACAAAACAGACGACAGGTCCCCCCCCCCCCCCCCCCCGCCCATGCAAGCAAGCATTGTTTTCCCCACCAAAAGTGCTTCTCAGATTACAAAGCGGCTTCGAGAAAGTTTCAGTTCTACAAAACAAATACCGTACCGGGAGAATAGACCTGGAAGGCAACCGCAAAAAGTCTCATTTAAATTCCTGGAAAGCACAGCCTCTCCAAAAAGGACTATTCAGCTCGCTTTAGAAGGCATCCCTCGCTGCGAACCACGAGTTTTTCACTCTGTCCCCTAGCGCCGACACCATCAAATCCAGACGACGAGGAAGGACTAACCCAGGACGCAAGAACCCATCAAATGACCACTCTGCTCACAGAGGGAAGTCAGACAGGCCACAAGCGGAGTTTTCTGCCCAGGGCAGAACAAGAGACACCAGGTCTCGGTTCCTACTGCCGCTAGCCACGAGAGCCACAGAGCATCAGAAATCAAGGGCAAACTGGAAACCCCAAGAAGTGCAGTTTTGTGTTGAGGGTAAGTTGAAGAAAGGTGATGAAAAAAAAAAAATCTTCACTCCCTTCCAAAGTCAAAATAGCTGAGTTCCCCCAGCACAGCTCAGGCTCCCTGTCACCGAGCCTAACTCCTCGTAGAGCAGCGCACAGGCTGCGGAGACAACGAGGAAAGCGTTGCCCACCCTGCCCGCCTCCCTTACCTGCCGTCTGCCCACGCCGCGCCCGAAGCGCACAGCACCGCTGTGCTCCGCGCTCCCCCGGGCCGCGCCGCGCCGCGCCAGGAGTGGGAGACGTGCGTGTCACATTTTATTCCCCGGCAAGCCAGCCGCTCGCTCGGGCGCGCGCACTCTCACGGACGCCCTCTGGAGCAGGGACAACCCCCCGCCCCGGTCGGGGGCGCCGCGGAAGTTGGGGGCTGCAGACTCCCTCCGAGCGCGCGGCTCCGGTCCTGCTGCCAGCGACCCCGCGCTCGCGTCCCGGGCGCCCAGCGGGATCAGTCCCCCGAGCCGAGGCTGCTCCGCACAGCCGGCAGCTGCAGGCGCGGGCGGCGGGGCGCGGCGGGCGGCTCGGCCTCGGAGCCGGCGCGGGGCTGCGCTCTGCCCGGTGCCGCGCACCTCATTGTTCCTGGCATCGGCGGCGGCGCGGGCGGCTGGAGGGACCAAGGCCCCCCAGCTCCGGGACAAGGCGGCGGCTCCCGGCCTGGGCGCGGAGGCTGTGCCGCGCCCCGCCCCCAAGCTGCGCGCACCCCCTCGCCCTCCCCTCCCCCGTCGTCTCCAGCCTCCCCCCTCCTGGCCTGGGCTCACCTAGCGGGTGGGCAGCGGGCACTGGGAAGTTGCACTGCCCCCCTCCCCGCGCCCTGGGCCCGACAGCTCGGACCGCGGGCGAGCGCAGGCGGGGCGCCCCCCGGCTACGCGCCGAGCCCTGCCTCTTGCGGAGAGTGATTGCAGACTTGGGCTGCGTGGGGCGGCGCGGTTGCCTAAAAAGGCATGTTTCTCCCCAGCCGCCGCCTCCACCCACCCCTAGTTCCTCCGTGGGTTACCTGCACAGCCCCTGCCTGGCACCGCGCCTAGCACCCGAGTACCACTGGAGTCCCCGCTGGCAGCTGGGATGCAGGAATGCGAACGGGCTGTGTATAGAGGGGAGGAGAGCCCGGGAGCCTGGACCCGCGGAAGTCAGTCTTTGTGTCCCCAGCTCCAACACACACCCTCCCGCAGCTTCCAAGGCCCGGCTACCTGCGCGCCAGGCAGCGCCCAGGAGGCGGCCGGGCGGGGCGCGGGGCAGCACAGCATCCTCCCCGGCCCGCTCTCTCCCTTTGTTCCACCAAGCTCGCCCGGCTCCGCGCTGCCTCCGGGCCCTCGCTCGCCGGAGCTTCTCCAAGGCGTCCGAGGATTGAAGATGGACCCGGGAGCGGGCCACCTTCCACTTGGGAAAGGCCGTGCGCCAAGCTCGGCGATGGAGCTCCAGGGAGGCCCCCACCTTCCCACCCCTCCCCACTGCTGGCCTCCAGCCCGGAGAGGGACAGGAAAGTTCTGTGGGCTGAGCCACCCAGGGCTGCCCGCGGGGCACGTGGTGAACCAGCGCCCCGGGCCGGGCAGCTGGAGCCCGCGGGCGGGGCCGTGGCGTGCGGCGGATCGGGTGTCAGTCTGCTTGCGCGCGGAATGCGCATTTGTCACCGTTGGACTCCGTATTTTCTCGAGGTAGTGGCAGCTGGTCTTGGGACCCGAGCTCGCGCCGTTCTTTGTTAGCTGGTAAACGCGCTCCTCTGAACTTGGGCACGTGCGCACGGTCCTCTTCCGGGCCTCAGAGCGCTGCCGTTCGGGTTTGAGGGGCGGGGGCAGGGGAGCCAGGTTGGGCTGGGTGATATTCCAAGCCTTGGCTATCCCAGAGGGACTGAAGTAGGTCACCCGCCACCCTCGGTCCCCCGCAGAACGCTCGTTTCGGTGACACGGATCCTTCCCTGAACGCGCTGTTTAAAAATCCCCGAGAACGTTCCTTTAACTCATTGGGGCTTTTTAGACGAGGACAATTGCTTATCCAATTCAATCAGCTTGCATTCAGAGCCTACTATGCGCTCCGGAATACCGGCTCCGAAGTGGGCGAACTTCCTCAGGGAGTTCCCAGGAAAATCAGAACAGCACTGGAATTCAACGGAAACCGACGAGTGAAAGTCACTGGGCTCCATCTCAAGTGTGGGCTGACAACGCTCAGCATTTCCCCAGTTGTGTTAACGTTTCTGACACTTGGAATTTGTAGAACTGCCCGCGGAAACAGTGTGTGTCTAAACAGAACTAGAGACCACAATCATGAAATACAGTAAAAGTCCCCCATACACACACACACACACACACACACACACACACACAGTGACCTAATGGAAACCTGCAGCTAGAGGGGCGGGGGTGTGCAAGCTGCCGGAAGTCCCTCCCCTTACCTCAGAGGGGCATTGAGCCCTTCTTAAGCTCTCAGGGTCCCCTCTCGCCTTCTGCAGAGTGGCTTCCAACAGTACTTAGCTTCCAGGTTTGCTGTGGGAAGCATATACAGTGTATTAAAAGGGTCTCTTGGGGCCAGCAATGTGTCCTACCGGGTAAAGCCGCTGCCTGCAGTGCTGGCATCCCATATGGGCGCCGGTTCGAGTCCTGGCTGCTCCTCTTCCCATCCAGCTCTCTGCTATGGCCTGGGAAAGCAGTAGAAGATGGCACAAGTCCTTAGGCCCCCTCATCCATGTGGGAGACCCAGAAGAAGCTCCTGGCTCCTGGCTTCGGATCGGCGCAGCTCCAGGCGTTGCAGCCTATTGGGGAGTGAACCAGCAGATGGAAGATCTCTCTCTCTCTCTCTCTCTCTCTCTCTCTCTCTGCATCTCCTCTCTGTGTAATTCTGACTTTCAAATAAATAAATCTTTTTATTTTTAAGTGTTTCTCCTAGTGCTGTAAAGTGGGTATCTAGCAGATTTCCTTATCAGTAAGAGACTGGTCATGCTTACAACACTTTACCTTGAAATTTAAAACAATGCATTTTCACACTTCTTATGGTGTATGTGTGTTCTATATACTTTCTGTTCCCTTTTGCATAAATGCTGCAACAGTTGATGTCTTCAGTACCTTAAATACATTTTAATGAGTTAAAGAAGAGAGGCCAAACGATTAACTGTATGCTTGTAGAAAAACTACCACCTTAAGACAAATATGCAAATCACTGTTGCAAAATTCCAGGTAGAGTGTGTGTATTATTAATAGTCAAGGTGGTCAATGCAGGGGGCTGGGGGCTAAAATGACTTAATCTATTGCTTCCTAAGGAAATCAAAAAGCCACTTGATAAACCTAAGAAAACAAGACAGAAGAGTGTTTCTGTCAAATGTAAAGGTAAACAAAATATTTGACATCTTTTATTTTAATTGCTCGCAGGAACCCTAAATAGGAGATTATTTATTGTAGGCCTATAGGTTCGTGAGAAATTCATGAAATACAAAATAAAAAAACAACAGCAAAAGAATTAGCTTACTAAGACAAGTAGAGAGCAATCAGAAATCCACTTCCTGCTATCCATTTGCACATTTGCTGATAAAAGCATGGATTCCTTCCTTCTTTGTTCGCTTCCTTCCCTCCTTTCACAAACAATGCTGCCCCAGTACCTTACCCCATGGGCTATGCGTTCACAGGGAAATCCCTTCCAGTGTTAGGGAATTGCAGCATCGCATTGGTGCACAGCTAAATCCGGAAGCTATCAGCCAAGAAGCACTTGGGATGCTGCAGAGGATGAACAAACAGTAAACATTTTCTAAGTGTAGCATTGCGGAATCTATTTTCTTTTTCTATGGGAAAATAACTTTATTTCATTGTGGGCCACGGGCTGGCGTCCAGTGTCAGGAGACCTTCTGGAGTGGTTTCGGGGGGGCAGTTGAAGCCCACCTTCTCACTCAGGAGAAGGGCTGGGTATCGGTGAAGCAGGGGAGACAGGTGCTGGAAGTGTTTCTGTGGGGCATTTTAAAGGGACTGGACTTGTGGACGGAGTCGGGATAGATCCTCTTAGCTGTCTTGTCCTCTGCATCTTCATCTTGGTCACCATGCCCTCAGGTTCTGCCCTCACCTAGAGAAGATACTGATGAAGAGGCAGCTCTTGTCTGTGCAGGAGCCCTCAGTGGCCTTGAAGTCTGAGTCCAAGTTTTCATACCATGGTAGGGGTGACAGGGGAAGAGAATTTCTGTCCCATTCACTAGAGTACTCAATGTTCACAATAACGCATGCATTTTATAAAGATTTATTTATTTTATTGGAGAGTCAGCTTAGGGTTGCACTCAAAAATCCGAGCTCATTTACAAACATTCACAAAGGTGTATCACTTCACAGATTATGTTAAGAGCTTTCCAGGGACTGGCTGTGCTGGGGCATAGAGGGTTAAGCTGCTGCCTGCAGTGCCAGCATCCCATGTGGGCACTTGTTCCAGCCCTGGCTGCTCTACTTCCAATCCAG